ATGGTATAAGCGTAGATTATTGCATACAAGTATGAATAAAATATTGTTGATTTGAGTCACGCGTTTGGGCTCAGCAACCCAAAATCTTTGTACATCTAACATCTGGCAGCGATTCTCCAGCTCCATCTGGAAAATCTGTCTCCTGTGCTCGCTACCATAACGTCTTTCCACTGCACCCATTAAAGCATCGTAATTGTTCCTTTCACAGTCAGGAATTGTCTGCAAATTTTCCGCTGCAGGTCCTTTTAATGCCACGAACAGAGCAGCGGATTTATCCTCCATGCTCCAACGATTTGCTGTAGCTGTCTTCTCGAACTGGAGCTTAAAGACTTGGAAAGGAATCGTGCCGTCAAAGGATGGAGTCTTTACCTTGGGAGCACTTGTCGAAGTAGCTGGACGATTCATCTGCAAATCTCGGAGGCAACCTTCCAACTCTTCTACCTTTGCTTCGACTTTCTCCTGAATTAGCTCTTCGATTTTATCTTGTCGTTCCTCTATTTTATCCTGTCTCTCTCTGAGTTCCGCGTTGTCTTTAAATAAATTCTCTTGTAGCTGAGTAATCTTTTCATCTAGCTGCGATGACATGTACGTTTTCTGTGCTTCCAGCAGCGATGACATGCTTGTTTCCTGCACTTGCAGCTGGGATGAAATCTGTGATGACATCTGTGACATGGCAGCCAATAACGTGTTCATGTCCGTAGCTGGTGATGACGACGGAGCCTTTTGCTGTTCTTCAACCTTCCCGGATGTCTGCTGCATATCCTTCGACGAACATCCTTCTGTTCATCTTTTGCGGATGCATCGTTAAGTTTACCCTGGAAGTCGTATTTGTCCACGTCGATGCCTTCTGCTTCCATAGCCTCTCGCAGCCGTGATAGTAACTCTACTTTTCTTCCGGAGGTTGCTAAATTTCGCTTCTCTAACTCCTGTTTGAGTTCCTCAATCTTTAAGTCCTGAATTTTTGCCATTTTCAAAAGTTTATCCTTCGGAATTTATTTAACAATCCCACTTCTGACACCAATTGTTACGATTATCCTTGAAACCTCGCCCGATTTCCCAAAACTTCGGGTTCGTATCGCTTGATTGTTAAATAAATGCTAACGATGAACAAATTGTAGTACAATTAACTTTATTGTACAACAAACAATTTTCAATACTCGCTAAT